TTGGTAGCTGGAACCTCGGGGGGGGGGGGGGCATAATATACATATGAATGCCACACTGCCCTTGCTATTTACATAAGAATGCCAGTTATTTACATGTGAATGCCAACACAGTTTGCACATGTGAGTCATCTGTACATGGCAATTGGACAGAGCAGGGCAGCATAAGTGACAGCACTTCACACTGAGATATCAGACACAGACCGGAACAAAGACTTCCAGGGACAAAGGGAATGTAAACCAGTACAGTTGGCAAATATTGGACAGCTGCTTTGGGCCCCACACAAAATGACTGGGCCCAGGCCAGCTGCCCCTTTTGCCTCTCCTTAAAGATGGCCCTGCCTGGGATATATAAATGTTATCATGTAATATACATGTCCATACTACCCAATTGTGACTTCAGTGAAAGTGGTTGTAAACCCTTACATATACCCAGTGAAGTTACTGACCTCACATAATATACAGAACTGAAACAAATCTTATTACATAAGTTGTGCCTGTTTATCTGCTGTATTCTCTTGTCAAAGCTTGTCTGAGCTGTCAGAAAAAAAAGGGGGCAGAGAGTTGAGGTTACACTCTGCAGAGCTAAGTGAGGAGAGCCCTAAGAGTTGTTTGGAGGGAAGGGACACACCCCACTTCACGCAGCACACAGGGACAGAGCTGTCAATCAGCTGAAGCTCCCTCTCCATCATCATTTTTTCTCTTGGTGGCAGGAAAACGTATCAGAAGTGACTCATACTGATAGCAGAGGAACGAGGCAGCAGACAGAATGACTTAGTGCTCTGGATTGAGACAAGTACACACTATAAAGAGGGATATGTTTTGTTCATTTGTCATGTCTGCGGTTTACAACCACTTTAAAGACAATGGGCTCCGTTCACTAAAGCAGACTGCATGTGGTATTTAGGTGTGCGGACACATTTTTTCTAAATATTGCATGCGATACAGAAACTGTCAATTCACTAGGAAGTTTTGCTGTATTTACTGTTGTATTTATTCACAAAAGGAAATAAATAGTCAAATGCATGCAGTAATTAGGCAGTGGTCCAGCATGCGGTATTTGAAGAATGTAAAAATATAATAGCCAATTTGGAGTAGTCTCTACCATTTCTTTCTCAAGTAATGCATAGAACCTAAATATGGAAGTCACTGGTGTTGAGAATAACTAGTATAACTAAAGGAAAACTTTTTTTTCAGCTTTGGATAGAGTGGAGGCAGATTAGAACACCTGTCAGTTTTTATTGTTGTTTGTTCCCCCATAAGAGAGACAAACCCTCTCGATTTGTCCTGTTTACCATTAACATTGAAAGTAAAAGAAAATCCCAAATTTTGGGTTGTCCCCAGAACAGCAATAAAGGGAAGTTTTCTGATGGGGACACTTGTTCTGGTGACCTGGGGGACCCCACCGGATTCCTTTAATTTGTACGGATTTCCTCTCACTTCTTGTTTTGGCTATGGGAGAGAAGTGAAGGTAAATCTCCCCAATGGGACACAGATGGGGTTATAACCCTCCTTACACTATCCAAAATGAAAAAAAAGTTTTGCCTATTGATTTACTTTAGTGCAAATAGACAGTGCACTTTGGAGGTTGCTCCAGAGCTTAGCAAATGAAGTAAAGCTTCACTTTACAAAGAATACCCCGTCACATGCAAGTAAAAAAAAAAAAGAGCATTTTTGCTTGCACATGATTGGATGATGGAAGTCAGCAGAGCTCCTCTTCATTTACTTAGCTCTGGGGCAACTTCACTTTCAAAATGCTAAGTCTATGTGCCTTTAGTAAATCCAGCCCATTACTTTTAGTAAATTCACCTCATTACATGTAGTAAAATCTACTTACCTTCTCTTATCATTTCACCAGATTATCAGAGACTTATTTGTGTATATACAAGCATATACATCATTTGCTGCAAAAAAAAAACCTCCCAGTCACTCCAAACATAATGCAATGTACATGCATATCACAATGGTCTAAACCCTTGTCATAGCATATGTTATATGTAGTGGGGATACTTTACTTTTTCACCATTATTTTTAGAGATATCATACCACTGACATGTTTCCACTGACATAATTGATCTTTTTAGCTATCTATAAGGGGGTAATTCTTCCCAGTGACCGAGTGTAAGGAGTTGTAGATTATAATTTTTAGCAGGGTTTCCTGAGACTGAAAAGTTATTTCAAGGGTTCCTCTGTGCTGGAAAGGTTGAGAAAAGCTGCTTGAAAGTGTAACTAAAGGCAAACCTTCTTTTTTTCATTTTGGATAGAGTAATGGAGTGTTTAGTTATATAAATGCAAAATCTTTATAAACATCAAATATTGAATGAAAATAGTATAAAAAAAAAAAATCACACACATGTATAAATACCCTTCTTCCACCAATAAAAGACATTGTAGAAGAAGGATATTTATATGTGTGTGATTTTTTATTTTTTTTTGGTGATTATTTTTATTCAGTATTTGGCATTTATAAAGATATTTTGTATTTACTTAATTTAACTTGTTTTTGATACACCACATGTGTCCTGTGACACTAGCTTCCATTTGACTGGTATTCCAGTCATCTTTTTTTCTTTTGTATTAATATATACTGTATGCTGCAGGGACTGCACTGACTTAGTAAATTGGCATATTTCTACAGTTTAACCATTTTACCTCTTTATTAGAGTGTACTGGTTGGCATGGCATGTCTAAGCACCCTGTAGGACGTGGAATGGTGTCACATGGTCTTGTGTGAAGCCTTTTATGATCTCACTTTAAGAACTTACAAAATTTGCCACACTGTTACACAGGTTACATTTAATTGGGGAGCACTAACTCCTCCTCCCCTTTGCATGCTACCCCTGACTGCCCAGTGCTTGATCTCCGCTGCAAGCTACATTTTGGTTTTCATCTCTGACCCTCTATGCCTTTTGACACACTATGTGAGATTGCTTTTATCGGATCCAGTCTTGCTCTTCCTATTTGGCCATCTTTATATTGCACCTCCTGAACCTCTGAAGAAGCTTAAGGGTGAAATGCGTTGGTACTGTTGGGACTCTGCACCACCTTCCCGAGATTCATATGTACATTGTATCCTTGTCAACATTGATCTTGTGATCATATTATATGATATAAGCAAAGTGGGGTGGTGCTGTTGAGACTCTGCACCCCCTTCCCGAGATTCATATGTACATTGTATCCTTGTCAACATTGATCTTGTGATCATATTATATGATATAAGCAAAGTGGGGTGGTGCTGTTGAGACTCTGCACCCCCTTCCCGAGATTCATATGTACATTGTATCCTTGTCAACATTGATCTTGTGATCATATTATATGATATAAGCAAAGTGGGGTGGTGCTGTTGAGACTCTGCACCCCTTCCCGAGATTCATATGTACATTGTATCCTTAGCAACATTGATCTTGTGATCATATTATATGATGATATAAGCAAGGTGGGGTGGTGCTGCTGGGACTCTGCACCCCCTTCCCGAGATTCATATGTACATTGTATACTTATCAACATTGATCTTGTGATCATATTATATGATGATGTAAGCAAGGTGGGGTGGTGCTGTTGAGACTCTACACCCCCTTCCTGAGATTCATATGTACATTGTATACTTATCAACATTGATCTTGTGATCATATTATATGATGATGTAAGCAAGGTGGGGTGGTGCTGTTGGGACTCTGCACCCCCTTCCTGAGATTCATAAGTGCATTGTATCCTTGTCAGCATTGATCTTGTGATCATATTATATGATGATATAAGTAAGGTTGGGTGGTGCTACCTTGGGGGCGTTGTGCAACTAATGATTGTTTCTTCTTATTTTAATTTTATCATGTTTGGGGGACTCTGTTACCCCAAAATACTTTTTTAAGATGATGTTTGGTAATAAAATTTAGTGATTTTAAACTGTGTTTGTCCCAATACTTCTGAGGGAAGGTATCAGCACCATAAAAATCCCTAATTCTTTCTTTCGTAGTCTTTTTTCTTTATTAGCAATAAAAATTAACAGGGGTTTTCATTCTATTCCACTGTATTCATCCCACTGAATATCGCATGATATAAAATACCACATGGTTTTATGAAAAAAATACCACATATTGTGTATGTATTTTAGAAACTTTTTGAAAAACGCCAAGCAGTATTTTACAGAATCTCTTAATGCGGTAAATACCGCTTTGTGAATGGAGCCCAATATTTCCATTTATGAAAAATTATTGGTCTAAATCAACCAGTATCTTCTTCAAACTGTAAGCTAAGGAGAATGATGGGAATCAATTACAACCCATGATGAAGCTACAGGGCACAATGCCACATGGTGAAGAGGACCTCTTAGTGACCCCATTTCTACAGATACTTAATTAACAAATTGCTGGACACAGTACAGTGGCTTCTGCTTTGGAAGGGGTGTTTTTTGTTCTCTAAAAGAATGGAAAGGGCCAGGAGGAAACATATGTATGTCTAATCATGCACTTATCCTTTAAAGCTGCGTCCAGGGAAATGATAAAACTATACTTGTAGAAGGCTCCCCATGCATTGCAGGGTTTAAATGCTCACTTTTGCCTAGAATACCATTAAGAGTACTTTTACTCACCCCTCATGCATCTGGCAGAAAGGACTACTGGTCCTGTATCGTATGTAATGATGCCAGAGTGCTGCTGAAGAGAGGCAGTTTTGGGTAATTGATTAAATGGAACAGAGGATCCTGCTAGAGTGAGGGATAGGGTAAGTGAAAGTGTTTTTTTTAATAGCACCCTAGGTAAAAACTAGCAGTTCAGCTTTAAAAGTGTAGGAATGTGGAGGGGGATTTAAAATGTTGTAGGCTGATTCTTCTGTACACTAGCTGGTATGGTATCACCTTCTATACACATGGCCCAGCCACAGCAAATTAAAAAAAATGATAGGACCTAAATAAATTATTAAATGAATTACTTTATTTTTGTATTTGATGTTCCTGAAGTAATCTTCTTAATCATCAGAGACTCATTCATCGAACAATAGTAATGGCTGTGTTATGCTGATTGAGCAAAACCCACTCTGTTGTTGCTCATGTCATAGACAGAATAGTACTGCCTCAAAAATACGTCTCCCAGGATCCAGAGAGGCTGGCCGTTCTGTGATGGGAGGTAGGTTTCCTCAACGCTAACAGCGCAATTACCGTTATACTAGAAGAAAAAATACATACATATAGATTAATTCAAACATGACAGCAGTATTTCAGATTAAATCATAGAATCTTCAGTTTAAAGCTCAACTACTGTGCATCATCCCACATAAAGCTATATGTAAGGATAGTCATAGAGCCTTGAAAAAGTATTCATACCCCTTGAAATTTTCCAAATTTTTTCATGCTACAACCAAAAATCTAAATGTATTTTATAGGGATTTTATGTAATAGACCAACACAAAGTGACACATAATTGTAAAGTGAAAGGACAATGATAAATGCTTTTCAAAATTTTTTACAAATAAATATCTGAAAAGTGTGGTGTGCATTTGTATTCAGCCCCCTTTACTCTGATATCCCTAACTAAAATCTAGTGTAACTAATTGCCGTCAGAAGTCACTTAATTAGTAAATAGAGTCCACCTGTGTGTAATTTAATCTCAGTATAAATACAGCTGTTCTGTGTAGCCCTCAGAGGTTTGTTAGAGAGCATTAGTTAACAAACAGCATCACAAACGCCAAGGAACACACCAGACAAGTCAATGATAAAGTTGTGGAGAAGTTTAAAGCAGGGGACACAGCAAACGTGGAAGAAGGTGCACTGGTCAGATGAGACCAAAATTGAACTTTTTATCATAAAAGCAAAATGCTATGTGTGGTGGAAAACTAACACTGCACATCACCCTGAACACACCATCCCCATCGTGAAGCATGGTGGTGGCAGCTTCATGTTGTGGGGATGCTTTTCTTTAGCAGGGCCAGGGAATCTAGTCAGAGTCGATGGGAAGATGGATAGAGCCAAATACAGGGCAATCTTAGAAGAAAACCTGTTAGAGTCTGCAAAAGACTTGAGACTGGGGCAGACGTTCACCTTCTAGCAGGACAATGACCCTACACATACAGTCAGAGCTACAATGGAATGGTTTAGATCAAAGCATATTCATGTGTGAGAATAGCCCAATAAAAGTCCAGACCTAAATCCAATTGAGAATCTGTGGCAAGACTTGAAAATTGCTTTTTCTCGGACGCTCTCCATTCAATCTAACAGAGCTTGAGCTATTTTACAAAGAACAATGGGCAAAAATGTTACCCTCTAGATGTGCAAAGCTGGTAAGAGACATCCCCAAAAAGACTTGCAGCTGTAATTGCAGTGAAAGATGGTTCTATAAAGTATTGACTCTGGTGGGCTGAATACAAATGCACGCTGCACTTTTCAGATATGTATTTGTAAAGCATTTTGAAAACCATTTATCATTTTCCTTCAACTTCACAATTATGTGCCACTTTGTGTAGGTCTATCACATAAAATACATTTACGTTTTTGGTTGTAAAATGACAAAATGTGAAAAATTTCAAGGGTCATGAATACTTTTTCAAGGCACTGTAGACAGATAGTTAGATAGATAGAAAGAGAGAGAGAGAGAGAGAGAGAGAGAGAGAGAGATCTATGGGCATTAAAGCTTGATAATACATTTTACTTCACAGCTTGCTTACTTACTATTTGTTACAGAGGTGGTAAAGTAGGGGTCCCTAATGTTTTATCCTATGCATGTTTAAACAAGGCTGGCCATACATGAGTCAGTTTTTTTTCATTCTACCAGTAGGTTGAACAATAAAAAAAACTTACCCAATTCCCCATCTATACATTCGAGGTGAATGGGGGAACATCCCAGCTAAGCTATTGGATTCTGACAGCAGAGAAACTTTCCTGCTGTCAGAATAGATTGATCAGTGCTGCAGTCTATTGCCTGTGGTGTTGATTGAGCAAAAAATACCAACAGGGAGGTTGAACAGAAGTCAGTCTATAGATCCACCACAATGGCTATACATGGATCGAACTTCAGCTGGTCCCTGCTGAACCACCCAGATTTTGATCCATGTATGGCCAGCTTGAGGAAGATCAGGACAAACTAGAGTGATTACATCCATTGTTACAGAACAATATTGGTAACCTTGCCTCTTTTTCAAGAAAGGCTAAAACAGGCAGATTAAGGCCCTATGCACACTGGATATAATATACATGCATCCAGATGTATTTGGATATAATTTATAAACATACCTGTAAACATGTACTTTTTTTTTTTTTTTGCTGTGGCCCAATGCACACCTAGACATTCAGCAGCGTCCCCTGAGCTCTTAGCCTGATTTTATGCAGCTAAAGGCAGCTATTAAAAAAAGAGATTTGGGAGGCATAAAATCATCCGCAGAGAAAATGCAATGCAGTCTAGGAGATGCGTGGGGGTAGCATTAATCCTAATGGCACCCCCACGCACTGGAAACAGCTCCAAACCATGTCTCCAGACCTAAACCCTATTGAGCATCTGTGGGGCATCCTCAAATGGAAGGAGGAGGAGTGCAAGGTCTCTAACATCCACCAGCTCCGTGATGTCGTCATGGAGGAGTGGAAGAGGACTCTAGTGGCAAACTGTGAAGCTATGGTGAACTCTATGCCCAAGAGGGTTAAGGCAGTGCTGGAAAATAATGGTGCCAACACAAAATATTGACACTTTGGGCCCAATTTGGACATTTTCACTTAGGGGTGTACTCACTTTTGTTGCCAACAGTGTAGACATTAATAGCTGTGTGTTGAGTTATTTTGAGGGAACAGTAAATTTACACTGTTATACAAGCTGTACACTCACTACTTTACATTGTAGCAAAGTGTAATTTCTTCAGTGTTGTCACATGAAAAGATATAATAAAATATATACAAAAATGTGAGGGGTGTACCAGGGGCGGACTGACAATTCATGGGGCCCCTGGGCAATAGGGGATCATAGGGCCCCTGTGTCCTTGTCCAAACTCCAAAAAGTCTATGAAAAAGGTACCAGGGGCATCTCATCGGGCCCCCTACTGACCCCGGGCCGAGTTTCCAAATGGTCAGTCCGCCCCTGGGGTGTACTCACTTCTGTGAGATACTGTAGATGTAAACCAGGGCTAAGGCTATGTTCACATAAGTTTGCACAGTAAATTGCAACAGTTTACTTTGTTGGGAGCTGTCAGTGTTGAGCATTTTAACTTTTTGCACTGGATACTTTTTTTTCTTTTCTTTTTTAACTTAATTTGAAGTGTTACATAGTAAAACTTCATTAAGTCTCCGCACAGCAGCTGGGAGCAATGTTACAGTGCAGTGACATGGGGGGCCAACCAGTGCACTGTACAGAAGTGCAGACACTGCACTGCACCTCACCGTACATTACACCAGCATTGAGGTGAAAACATATTTTCAGTCAGTTTTTAACAGCTTAGGCCCCTTTCACATGGAAGGACTGATCAGGTCCGCCTGTCTGTTTTTCATACAGACTTGATCAGACCATCCATAGGCCTCTATAGAGCAGTGGATGTGAATGGACATGTGTCCCTTTACACCCACCTGCATTTGATCTGATCAGTTCTGCTGAAAACAGATGGATGGGGATCCGTTCACCATCCGTTCAGCGGATTGGATGACAGTCAGATGTGGATGGACAGGTGGTCTGTTTACATCCGACTGCCCATAAAGGAAAGCAGACTGTGCCCATTCTGCATAAGTGGAGTAGACATGGACCTGTCATCTGCTTGCTCAGTGGAGATCAGTTGACAGATTCCCTGCTGATCCACTGGTGGAGTCTGCACATGTGAAAGGGGCCTTAGAAACATCTGCAGCGTGTTTACATTGGAAAAATGGCAGGCTGCTAAAGATTTGCGCCATAGAAATTTAGAGACATGATTTTAGTGCCTCTGTTTTGAATTTAATTCTCTACGATGCTAAAGTTACAGAGGGGAAAGAAAGCTTGCTTTATTTCCTATCACTGCATGTTCAGAATATGTAAATACTTTACAGTTTTTACACAGATTATCTTTATTGACTTTGAAGTTAATACTGTGAATATGATGATTAATTGCTCCACAGTCCTTGCAGCTACACAGGTCAGTGAGGTTTTTTAAACTTTATTTACTGCTTCTAAGGATATATTAATACTTGAATGTCTATAGCCTGGCCACAGGCCGCCTTTAGGTCTATACAGTTTTTTTTACAGCAAATCTCATCCTGGTCACACATGGCACACTGTCTATCCCATAAACATCTTCTCTTGAGACTAAGAATATTGTTTAGTGTCAATTTAATAAGCAATAAAAACATCTTTAACCACATCCCCGCCACCCTATAGCAGATATACTGCTACAGGGTGGTAGGTGTGCACAAAATCACACATATATACATGATTTTTAATTTCCGTGTAGGGGTGCGCGAGAGCCGCCCCTACCCGCTCCTCAATTTGCGACTGCGGCTGTCAATCACCGGGTCCCAGCTAGTGATTTCCGAGGATCTCTGATGGGGAGGAGGGCTGCTTTGTTTACTAACAGTCCTCCTCCCTGTCGGCTCAGGCACACTAATCCCGATGGCTGTGCACAGCAATCCAGAGCAGTGTACTTACAGTGAAGCACCAATACACCGCCCCCCCAGTAAAACACTCCCACCACACAGTTAACCCTTTGATCGCCCCTCAAGGTAAACCTCTTCCTGCCCAGTGCCATTATTACAGTGTCAGTGCTTTTTTTTTTAGCACTGATTACTGTATTGGTGTCACTGTGGATGTCAGTGACACCAAGTCAGTTCCCCCCCGTATCAGAATGCCTGCCGGAGTCCACCAGTCCCACTATAAGTCGCTGATCACCGCCATTATTAGTAAAAAATAAATAAATTGTATCTATACAGCCATTTGTATACACTATAACTTTCACGTAAACCAATTAATTTAAAGGTATATTGGAATTTTTTTTTAGCAAAGTTATGTAACAGAATACATTTTGGCCTAAATTTATAACATAATTAGATTTTTTAAAAAATTTTTTTACTGGACATGTTTAATAGCAAAAAGTCCAAAATATTGTTTTTTTTCTCAAAATTTTCAGTCTTTTTTTTTATATAGCGCAGAAAATAAAAAATGCCACTGAAAGAAAGCTCAATTCGTGGGAAAAAAGGACATAAATTTCATTTGAGTGCAGCATTGCATGACCACTAAAGCCTCTATTTTTTTGTAAAAATAACAAACATGTCTATACTTACCTACTCCGTGCAGTGATTTTGCACAGAGCTGCCCCAATCCTCTTCATTTCGGGTCCCTGCCAGCATTCCTGTTTACCCCTCAAGCAGTGGGGGGGAACTTGGGGGCACCGCTATGTTCTCAATCCCAAGCCTCTGCTCTATGCATCCATATATTACAGCAGCTCAGAACAGCCCCCCCCCCGCTCTCACTTCATTGGCTCACTGGCTGTGACTGACAGCCCATTAGTTCTCACTGCTATCTCAGCCAATGAGGAGGAAGATCCCCAGTTAGCAGAGGCTGGAGAGGAGGGGGCTCAGGTAAGGATTTGGGGCGCCACTGCACACAGACATTTTTTTTTACCTTTGTGCATAAAATACATGAAGGTAAAATCTTTCACCCTTGTGCAGAATATTGCATGTGATTCGCACAGGAACTGCACCGCATTCCTGTGCAAATCACATGCAAATTGTGTACAGTGCGATTGGAGCCGTACATTTTGTATGGCTCCAATCGCACTACATCCGCACCAGAAAGGTCCAGGACCCTTTTTTTGGTCTGCACTAGAATCGGATCACATGGTTATTCACACCCATGCGATACGATTCTGCACATCGCACTGCATTTTGTGGACCAATTTTGGGGTGTTGTTAACTTAAAATACACACCCGCAGCGGTTCGCATGAATGGGGTGCAATTGTGATGCAGTGCAGAATTCGCACAGAAAATGATGCGAATTCTGCAACACTTCAGTGTGAACCCAGGCTAAGTGATTTGAAGTCAGGTGGCAATTTTGCAAGGAAAAGCAATTTAGAATTTTAACCAATTTTATCGACACTACCAAACAAATCATCAATAATTCACAAAATTTTAGCTATCATAATAATATGAAAACCAAGTTTTTATTACCTGATTTATGTATCCTGAGGGTGGGATGGGGAACTGGACTCCATTGATGGTGAAACTGATTGTTGGCAAGTTCTGCATATTATTGCAGTTTACTAGGAACTGAAAGAAAAAAAAAAATTATATCAAATTATATTATTCATCATAAAAAATGTAGTTTTAGACTGTTTTTTTTGTCATGTTATATGTATGTATATTGTATTTGATTTCTTTCTACTGAATATTACTGTGCTCTGCTGAATAAATGAATTCCCCTGAGGCCCCATCTACAAGCTCTAACGTCCTCATCACGTGATATTGAAGCTTATGGTCAAAGTGTCTAGTGATAGTTGCAGAAATGAGCACTAATGGAGCCAGGTAAGATTAATGCCTTAGATGAAGGGTCTACAGCTGCAACCTGTGCTAGATAAGCAGGTATCACATGGTTGGTCCCTCTAGGACAGCCACTGCTTTCACTTTGCTTCCTGCGCAATTGTTTGATATAAGGTCACTGATCACATTCATAGTTAAATAGGTACAAAGTTGGTCAGGTTGAAAAAAGTTCAACCAGCAGAAAAAATAACTAAATAAATAGAACACCTGCAGATATGGAGCCCTATACCTACAGTTGATCTAAAGGTAGGCAAAAACACCTATAAAGTATGGTCCAATTTGCTCCAGTGGGGAAAATCCTTTCTGATCCCCTGAAAACACTGGTATTATTACCTATAAATGTTATTATCCAGTTATATTTTATGCATTTGGGAATGCATTCAGCTCTTTTTATAAACAAGTTACTAAGCTGGCCAGACCTGTTTCTTGGGGGAGTCTATTCTACAGTTTTTTTTACATGTGATTACTGCCAGCGGCTATAGCCACTAGTAGTAATCATTGTATTCTGCCAGCCAGGAAGGCTCCCAGCCAGAAGAAAACAATAGCACCGTGGGAGGGATTTCCTCATCAACACTGACTGTGCTGATGGGGAATTAGCCATTTTCTTTTCCTTTCACCCATGGTACAAGGAAAGAAAATCGAATCATCTATGGCTTGCCTTAGTCAGGTTGAAAAAAGACACAAGTCCATCTAGCTAAACCAGTAGAAAAAAACAAACAAGTAGAAAACCTGCATATACACAATGCTATACCCACAGCTGATCCAGAGGATGTGAAAAAAAAAATAATAAAAGAAAGCATGAAACAATTTGCTGCAGTGGGGAAAATCATTTTTTCCTGATCCCCCAGGCGGCAATTGGATATTCCCTGACTCAACTATCACTGGTATTATTGCTTATATATGTTAATATCCAGATATATTTTATGTAGAACTAGTTCTCGAAGGAACCTAATTTACATTTTCCCAGCTCTTACTGTGAATAAGCCTTTCTGTATGTGGAGGTTGAATGTCTTTTCCTACAGACATAAAACATGTCCCCTTGTCCTCTGTAATGAGTCTAAACCTCTGTAATAAGTATTTTTCTTGCTTGAGATACCGCGGCCTGGCATTGCATGCTATTATTAACTCTTTGATCTACCAGAATACTCAAATCCTTCTCCACCTTTGACTCCCCCAGCTGCTCTTCTCCTAATATGTATGATGCATGTGTATTTTTAGCCACCAAGTGTATACCTTTAGATTTATCAACATTAAACCTCATTTGCCAAATAGTTGTCCAATTATATACTGCATTGAGGTCCGCTTGTAAGTTGGAGACATCCTGTGAGGACTTTGTTCTGCTACATAGCTTGGTGTCATCTGCAAACACTGAAATGGTAATTTTTTTCCCCAAAACTTTTTATCATTTATAAATATGGGGTACACCATTAAAAACCTTAGATTATTCAGAGTATGAATTATTAATGACTACTCTCTGAATACTTGATTTTAGCCAGTTTTCTATTTACAAACTGAATTTTCTAAGCTTGTAGACTTTAACTTATACATTAGGCATGTGCAGTGGTGTATTTTGGTTTTGTGCTGCCCTAGACAAGACTAAAATCATGTCCCCCATCTAAATTTGTCCCACCGTTTCCTGTTTAGGATCCACCCCTTCATCTGTAAACCCCACCCCTTCCACTTTAGGCTCCACCTCTTCCTATTAGAGCTTCACCCCAGGAGACGGTCAGAGACTGTGGACAGGATACAGGAGAGGGTCCTCACAACCCCTGCCCTTGCATCAGGGTCCCCAAGTTTCCCCCTCCTTAAATCAGGGTCCCCAAAGTCCCCCTTCAACATTAGGGTCCACAAATCCCTCCAGTAAATCAGGATCCCCTTTAAATCATTGTCTCCAGAGTCCCTTCACCTTGTGTGCATCAAGGTCCCCATAGTCTTGGTCTCCAGAGTCCCCCCAACCTTACATCAGGGTTCCCACAGGCCCTCCCTTTACATCATGGTCCTCCAGAGCCCCCCTCCTTAAATCTGGGCCCCCATAGGCCCTACCACTTACATCAGGGTCCCAAGATTCCCCCCCAATACATCCGGGTCCACCTTTACATCGTGGTCTCCAGAGTCCCCCCACCCATAGATCCTCCCCATACATCAGGTCCCCCAGAGACCCAAATCCCCCTCCTTAAAAAAGGGTCCCCAGAGTTCCCCTCTTCCCTTACATCAGGGTCCCAAAAGTCCCCCCAATACATCAGGGTCCCCCTATACAGCATTGTCTTCAGAGTCCCACCTCACATCGGAGTCCCTAGAGCCCATTCTCGTTAATTTGGTCCCCAAAGTTCCCCCTGCCCATATATCAGGATACCCCCAACCCCCCATACCTCAGGGTTCATTCCATTCATTCTTCTAGGCAGCTACACGAGCTGGAAGAAGTCCTGTCCTTGCCGCCCCCCTACTCCTCCTCTGAATGTCACAGTCTGGGGGCGGAGCAAGCTCCTGATTGGTTGTTAGGACCGCCGATGTCCTAGTAACCAATCACGTGCTTTTCCTGCCCGACTAGCGCTGACAGTGACAACATAGGGCAGCAGACCACCCCACAGACTGAGAACACATGAACCACCACCCTTCTGAACACAGCCGAGACCGTCCCCTCCACCAGAGCACACAGGAGTCCGCCCCCCCGAAAACAGCCGAGCACACACAAGCCCACCCCTCTCCAAAACACAGCCGAGATCGCCCCCCTTCCTGAACACAGCCAAGCCCGACCCTGCCTGAGCCCGCCTGAACACAGCCCTTTGTAGATGGCACTGGTCCCTTCTGCCTGGGGGCGATGCCGCCCCCCTTAAAAGTGCCGCCCAAGGCAGGTGCCTTGTTTGCCTCGTGCCAGATACACCCCTGGGCATGTATGGGAAACTGTGTCAAACACATTTGCAAAATCCTAGTATACTATAGCCACAGCCATTCCTTTCTCTTGGTTTTTACTTATTTCTACATTTAAAAAAACATGTCAAACTATCCCCATTATGGGCTGGTGTTCCCTATTTTTCTTTGTATACACAAAGCTAAAAAAAAAAGGCATTTAATACATTCATTAACAGTACAGCAATGTTAGCATGACACCTGTGAAGTAATGTTACTTTTTTGTTAGCATATAATCTCACCTGTCCATTCTGGCCTTGCTGGGCTCCCATATATTGCAACAGAGTACCCATATATTGTTGAGGGATAGTCAGAGGAGACGTTCCAGTATCTACAATTGCCTGACACCCTTGGCTGCACCATCCTGTTGCTTGCCCATTGATTGAAAAGCTGTGTGACACATTGATAACATAAAATAAGGCTAGTTAGTAGGGATTAACAACTGAATCAACTGAAATAATATCAAGACTAGTATGTTTAATCTGTTGTTTACACTGGTAAAAAGCTGTTAGTTAAAACAAATTAAAATAGTAAAACTGGCCATGTTTAATTTAAAAAGATGACAATTTGGAGGTGATCTATATAAAAACATATACAGTACATATGTCCAAATTCAACAGAACTCAGCAACTATTGCAGTGCCATTCTACAAAGAGAGTTCAATTCTGGTCTTAATACAGACATGTGTGGTCACTGTTTTCTCTGAATCCATTTAAGTTTTAACCATTAAGGTGTTGATCCCTGAGGAAGACAGAGTGGTTTAACCCCTGAAATTTGTTGGCTGTGTTTATATGATCTATTTATTAACAATAATTTGGACTTTTTCATCTATGTTTTGGTCTAGAGCTCATTTTTATATTTTTATGGTTTTAGCTACTGCTGGGTACTCGCTGAGGGAAATTTTTCTATGTGAAAGATTGTATGAAGCTTTCTTTTAATTTGCTGCACGTATAAAGCCTAGTACACACGATTAGAAAATTGTACGAAAAATACAGCTTTTGAAGCGATTGTGCAATAATTTGATCATTAGTATACAGCTTTTGTCTGAAATGATTTGAAGGGACAAGCACGGAAATGACCAGATTGGATGATTTTCGTTTAATCAGTACAGCTTTCATCTGACAATACAATACATTACATCACTTCCAAATGTTTATTCTGTCATACAAGAATTTTCTATAAATTTGAGTAATCTCCTATTTTCTATATGCATGCAAACAAAGGCGAACGATCATTCGTCTGATATTCTCATTGTGTGTTCAGGGCTTAAGTTTGAAAATTCTCAGCACTTCTTTAAATGTGCCTCTCTGAATCCAGCCTGGGTGAAGTGACAGGAGTAAATTGATTGGTTGCTATGGTGCTAAAGAGTTTTTGATAACACACCTTCCAGATATAAATTCTTCTGTAACTGTGGTAAGTAGTGTAAAAGCCTTGCACACTTATTTGTTTCAGAATACATAACCATTATAATAAAAGCTTATATTTGTTAGAAATAAACATAAATCAATGTCAAGCATGTGTAAAATGTATTATTAGTTACTGAACTATTAATTTATACAAATTGGCTTTTGAATATATTGTAAAAAATTATCATAATATTGGCAATATATGAAATGCTAATGAAAATCATAAAAACAAGGAATAAACGTTACTTACCCATCAATACCAATCTGCCAGTAAACTTCTTGTGTGACTGGAGCCCATTGGATCTGCCCAGAATACAAGCTGTTATCAACTCCACCGAAAATCACCTCACCTGACTGACTAAGGAAGGGAGAAAAACAAAAGACATTTCAATGAATATTGCTTGAATTATGGTAAGAAATATACTGTAGTCTTTTCTATTTTGGCCATTAATTCTTAAAAATGATATTAAAGGCAGATTAAAAAAAATAACAAACATGTTATACTTACCTTCTCTGTGTAATGGTTTTGCACAGAGCAATCCCTGATCCTCCTCTTCTCGGGTCCACCACTGGCACTCCTGGCCCCTTCCTCCTCCTGATTGCACCATAGCAAGCACCCTGCAGGCTCGTTCCCAAGCTGTGTCCTTTCACACACTAGCACTGCTCAGCCACCCCCAACTCTCTCCTCCTTGGCTCACTGGCTGTGAATGATAGCAGCCAATGGCTCCTGCTGCTGTCTCCAGTGCCAGTGAGGAGCCAGTGAGGAGCCCGGAGTCCCCGGGAGAACCACTGCTCTCATGCATATCACTGGATTGAGAGGGTATTCAGGTAAGCATTGGGGTGGGGGAGGCTTTGGGTCTGCTGCACACTGAAGGTTTTTTAACTTCATGCATTCTATGCAAAAAAATTTGAGCTTTTTTAACCACTTTACATTGAACTCCCCTAGCTGAATCTAGTTTAAAGCGGAATTTCAGTCAGAAAATTAAGCCCTGCTAGATTACTTCAGGATGGCCTGTTTTGCAGGTATAGCTATGTAAAATAATTTTTAAAAAAGTACCTTGCTCTAAAATTTGTAGAAGATGATTTGCTGACAGCCTGAGGATTTACTGCTGCTCAGGGCTCTGGGCTTCAGCAGAATGACAGCCTCCAGTAAGAAGAAACAGGAAAAATGCTGGAGGCAATTTACAGCACACACTAATTTTGGTAGCGTAATTATTGGTATGGAGTGTATGCCCCTTGCTAAAAAAAACATTCTTTTTTTTAATCAAATTGTTAAGGGTAAAAAGTTCTGCTTTAATAACATAATCATATCTTTATGTTCCTGTCGTCAGCCATTTTTTATACTGTTTGCTTCTAGCTCATCTTCCTACAGATATTCCAAAGACTTAAATAGGCCTGATACAGTAAAGAAATGATAACTTGATCAGAGCAGCCTAGTTACAAGTGATTGGTGCAGAAGTAGTAAGAAGAAGACCTTTAAAATACAGTAAGGTCCATAAATATTGGGACATCGACACAATTCTAACATTTTTGGCTCTATACACCACCACAATTGATTTGAAATGAAACGAACAAGATGTGCTTTAACTGCAGACTGTCAGCTTTAATTTGAGGGTATTTACATCCAAATCAGGTGAACGGTGTAGGAATTACAACAGTTTGCATATGTGCCTCCCACTTATTAAGGGACCAAAAGTAATTGGACAATTGGCTTCTCAGCTGTTCCATGGCCAGGTGTGTGTTATTCCCTCATTATCCCAATTACAATGAGCAGATAAAAGGTGCAGAGTTCATTTCAAGTGTGCTCTTTGCATTTGGAATCTGTTGCTGTCAACTCTCAAGATGAGATCCAAAGAGCTGTCACTATCAGTGAAGCAAGCCATCATTTGGCTGAAAAAACAACCCCATCAGAGAGATAGCAAAAACATTAGGCGTGGCCAAAACAACTGTTTGGAACATTCTTAAAAAGAAGGAACGCACCGGTGAGCTCAGCAACACCAAAAGACCCGGAAGACCACGGAAAACAACTGTGGTGGATGACCGAATAATTCTTTACCTGGTGAAGAAAACACCCTTCACAACAGTTGGCCAGATTAAGAACACTCTCCAAAAGGTAGGTGTATGTGTGTCAAAGTCAACAATCAAGAGAAGACTTCACCAGAGTGAATACAGAGGGTTCACCCCAAGATGTAAACCATTGGTGAGCCTCAAAAACAGGAAGGCCATATTAGAGTTTGCCAAACGACATCTAAAATAGCCTTCACAGTTCTGGAACAACATCCTATGGACAGATGAGACCAAGATCAACTTGTACCAGAGTGATGGGAAGAGAAGAGTATGGAGAAGGAAAGGAACTGCTCATGATCGTAAGCATACCACCTCATCAGTGAAGCATGGTGGTGGTAGTGTCATGGCGTGGGCATGTATGGCTCTGGTTCTCTTGTATTTATTGATGATGTGACTGCTGACAAAAGCAGCAGGATGAATTCTGAAGTGTTTCGGGCAATATTATCTGCTCATATTCAGCCAAATGCTTCAGAATTCATTGGATGCCGCAGTGCAGATGGACAATGACCCAAAGCATACTGCAAAAGCAACCAAAGAGTTTTTTAAGGGAAAGAAGTGGAATGTTATGCAATGGCCAAGTCAATCACCTGACCTGAATCCGATTGAGCATTCATTTCACTTGCTGAAGACAAAATTGAAGGGAAAATGCCCCAAGCACAAGCAGAAACTGAAGACAGTTGCAGTAGAGGCCTGGCAGAGCATCACCAGGGATGAAACCCAGCGTCTGGTGATGTCTATGCATTCCAGATTTCAGGCTGTAATTGACTGCAAATGATTTGCAACCAAGTATTAAAAAGTGAAAGTTTGATTTATGATTATTATTCTGTCCTATTACTTTTGGTCCCTTAACAAGTGGGAGGCATATATGCAAACTGTTGACACCTGATTTGGATGTAAATACCCTGAAATTAAAGCTGACAGTCTGCAGTTAAAGCACATCTTGTTCGTTTCATTTCAAATCCATTGTGGTGGTGTATAGAGCCAAAAATGTTAGAATTGTGTCGATGTCCCAATATTTATGAACCTGAATGTATGTGATAGCAGCACCAACCACATTGCAACCACCCTAATCAAATTGGTTTAATGGAAATCTTATTTGATGATCAGTGACCTATTTGCAACCATTATACTGGGAAAGCATGCAAGGTTCATGTGTGCTGCTGCTTGTCTATTATTCACCTGTTCATATAGACACTGAAGATAGGATAATTCAGTAGGTTCTGTTGCAACATTCCTTGCATTGCAGTGGTGGCACCCCCGGCAGACATGGCGGGATATGCCATTCCAAATATACCATCAAACTTCGAATAGTAGAAACTGCTGCCACTCTCTGAATAGGTGAGTCCAAATTCCTGGTTTGTGAGGGTTAGTCCTTGAACCTGTGTTGTCAAATAAGCGATATTAAAAATGATTTTTTTTATGTATATATATATATATATATATATATATATATATATATATTCAGTAATTTATACAACGCAAGTAATGCTGCTGAATCTTTTATACTTATAACAGTTGATTTAGAAGATATGAAGGAATACCTGCACTGAGGGTACACGCAGGCTGCCATTGCTGATTCCTTATTCTAAAAAATATAACTTGCCTGGTTTCCTTGAGGACCCAACAACTTCTGATCAGGAAGAATACAAATCAAAAGTTCTGACTTCAGTCTAATTCTTAATCTGCATATTTGTTTCAGGTGGGTGATTTACCAAAATATTAAGTTAAGGGTGCATACTTTTGTCAGCCCTTTTTTTGGGGTTTTTGTGAAGTAATGAAGTTATAAACCTCAAAGTTACTAGCATTTTCAGAGAAGGTCAGCAATGGGGGCCTACAGGTTTTTATCAGTACACGTGCATTTTAATGTAAACCTTTAATTTCAAATTACTTACGGACACAGTGTCATAACCAAAGATACCACTGACGCTGCCACTGCCATATGACATAGTGAATTGCTGGCCATTGGAGGAATATGTGGAGGACTGGCTTGGATTGAACAGATTGTGGTTACCTGCATAAACGCAAAGAAAGTAAAATTATTTTTTAAGTTATTTATATAACAGTAACAAATAAAAAGATGTTGAAGATTTAAATGTACAGTCAAATACTATTTAAGCTTACAACCTGCTCCCACCTCCATTCTAAGCCCTATACTATATACCCTGTAAAGGAGAGATGTCTATACTTGCCTATTCTGAGGGCGCTCCAGTCCGGTCACAAGATTGGCTTCCAGCTCTGGACATTAGCTGCCCCATAGTAAGCCTATGACCAGAGTGCCTTCAGAACAGGTAAGTACACAAGTCTTTCCTTTACAAGGTAGTTAGTATAGAGCTTAGAATAGGGGGTAGGAGCAAATTTAAGATTAGATAGTATTTGACTAGACTTCATCTTTAACCACTTCCCGTCTGTACCATGTATATAAACAGCCATACAGGAGCAGTGCAGGGGCGGGTTGCCGTTCATAAACAGTGCCTGCCATTTTAGCCTGTGTGCGCTCCCTGGGAGTTCACAGCACTGTGATCCGTAGAAATCCGTACACCGATTGCTGTACGGGACCTCTGTGTGAGGTCCCAATCATGTGATCACTGATTGGCCAATCTGATCACATGAATAATAGTAAACAAGATGTCACTTCTGACATCATTGCTTACTACGTGTGAAATCTGTGAATGATCACAGAGGTCACATGGTACAAGGCTATTCAGAACAGCCTGGTACCAAGTGATGAGCTGTGATCAATCACAGCTCGCACAGTATTTCTAAATGGCTGCAAGAATGCAGCCAGAGAGAAAGAGAAATAATTGCTTTTACAGCCTTTATGGGTATAAAAGCAATCAGTGTAAAAAAAAAAACATTTTTTTTTCATCACCCCCCACAAGTAGGGTGACAGTATGTTAAAAAAAAAAAATAATATGAAAAAAAAAATAGAAATGTAAAAAAAGTTTGTAAAAATTATAATTTTTGGTTATAAACTAATTTGGGTTACTTTTTTTTAAATAAAAAGATAACTGAATACATTTTGGCCAAGATTTATAAAGAAAGATTATTTATTTGCAAAATTTTATAAGAAAAACACTTTTTTTCAATATTTTTGGACTTTTTCATTTTATATAGCAAAAAAAATAAAAATCCCAGTGGTGAATAAATACTACCAAAATAAAGTTTTATCTGTCTCAAAAAAAAATACAAAAAAATTCATATGGGTACAGTGTTGCATGACCGCGCAATTGTCATTCAAAGTGTGTTAGCGCTGAAAGCTGAAAAATTGGCCTGGACAGGAAGGGGGTAAAAGTGTCCGGACTTGAAGTAATTAACTAGAACATTGTTGTAGTTGTTATATGTATAACAGTATGTTAGATACATACCGTGTATCTGTATTTACAGTACTGTATCTGTCTGTCCATTATTTTTTAGATATTATCTAAAAAGGGGCAATAAGCCTAAATTAGGGTGCATATGTATACTACCTTAAAAGGAAATTAAAATTTGGATTTTTAGAAGGTCTCACTCATCCGCAAGTTGATTGAGCCACTATTGTGCAATAATAGATAGGAATACTCTTTAATTTCAAAGTCCCACAGATGACTAAAATCATACTGGCTATTTCAATTTGACTGTTGTAGTTGTTACATGAATAACATATGTTAGATACATATATCTGTATATACAGTACTGTATCTGTCTGTCCATTATTTTTTAGGTATTTTAGATATTATCTAAAAAGGGCAATATGTCTAAATTAGGGTGCATATGTATACTATCTTATAAGGAAATTAAAATGTGGATTTTTGGATGGTCTCACTCCTTCGCAAGGGGATTGGGCCACTAGTGTGTGTAGTAATAGATAGGAATACTGTTTGATTTCAAAGCCCCACGGATGACTAAAATCATACTGGCTATTTCAGTTTGACTGTAGAAAGTGAAAGTCACATTACACTTTTATGAAATGTAGGAAGCAGAACATCCTATAGTCTTGTTTTCTTTAATTTAGGTGCAATAGTTATTTTTCTTAATCTTTTTTTAAACTGCACTATTATGTACTTTACTCACTGCAAGCAGAACTTTGACAATTGGCAGATGGGACCCAGAGGTTGGATGATCCAGTATCAAACAGAACCAGGAAGTTTTGGGCTGGTGTTCCTATGCTGATCTGTCCATAGTAATATGTCTAAAGATAAAAAATCATTTGTTATATGTATATACAGTGTGAGGAATCTTCTAACAAATATTTTACTGTACACAAATACACAGAACTTACATCCATATACATTGGCTCATAGGCAACAGCAAAATCAAATTTTTGATTGAAGTTGTACTTAAGTGCAGGGTCTCTTTTGTGTGTCTTCATATACTCATCCAGGACTCCTTTTTCCCGCATGATTTCTCGGGCTGACTTGTATCTTTTCAGAGGGACCCTGAAAGAAACAGTTGTAAATTGCTTAGTGTTGTACTTTCTAATTTATCTGGCCTATTTATATAATGCTACATGGAAGCAAATGATAACGTTATGTTCATTTGTATCTTTTCAGAGGGACGTTGAAAGAAACCGATGTAAATTGTTCAGTGTTGTACCTTCTAACTTTTTTTTGTTAATACTATAATAATGTTTTTATTATGTGTAAAATAGCAGTATTTTTTGCTACCTTTTACCTAAATTTTCAGTCATATAAAAAAAATACATATATTTCAATTTAAAATAAGAAGATCCCTGTAGTAGGGCAGTACCAAAAAAAAAAAAAGCCAAGCCAGCGCCTAGAGCAATAGATCAAAGCCAAGCCTCAATTTCCAGTGATAATTACCTATGTTGTTTCCCTCTTCTGTTCATTTCTTGATATTTTTGATGTGCACCCTCCTAGTTAGCTAGGGGGAGCTAAAGTTTGTTAAACCTTGTTAGAGGTTGAGTAGCTGCCTGGTGCAACGGTCAGAGGGGTCAAATTTCGATCAGAGGCTCTGCAGACTGGCTCTCTGAAACTTCCCCCTGCACTAGAACTTTGGAAAAAGTTTGTCACGTACCTGACTGGAGACTGAAATGACGAGGTCGGCCTCACTTGTGTCAATAGCCCTGACCCCACTGGAAGTGGAACAGAGGGTGTCTAGGGACCAGGGGGACAAGAGCGCCAGCAGATGTTATTTACAGCTCTTGCAGTTGGAGACTTTGGAAGACTGATGGTAGATCGCCAAGTGTGCACCACAGCAAGGCAGGAAGCAGGGATAGGAGACAGGAGCAGTGTCAAAGGAATAGCCAGGGTCATCAACGGGTGGACAGCGAGGTACCAAGTCATAAGCAAGCCAAAGTCAGGAGCAGAGCCGAAGTCAGGACCCAATATCAAGCAGGAGAGGAATCAGAGTCAGGTCAGGAACAAGCCGGGTCAGCAACAAGGAAATCACACACAGGAACGAGCAGGAAACAGGGAACAGCTGAAGACCAGTCAGCACTCAGCACAGGCAGAGGCATCTCTTAAATAATCCATCTGGCGCCAATCTTCACTGTACGTGTGCACGTGTGCGAGTGAGTGTGTGATCGCGCATTTCTGTGCACATGCGTACGTCTATTCACCAGCCGTCTCACGGGAATTCCCTTACAAAGTTCTAGAAGCAGTGGGCGGAGATAGGGAGTAGCTAGTCTGCACTGTTAAGGGATCCTGGCTAATCCGCAACAGGAGGCTGGGCAAGTGGACAGGACAGCCCCTAAGAGTGACCAAGCCTGCTCAGCAGTGGGAGAGTTTGGGTGGTAGATGGAAAGGAAGTGAGAGGCTTGAGAGTCGAAGCCTGGGAGGGGGCCCAGATGAAGAAGGGCTCACCTAAAGGCAGAAGACCTTGGAGGGAGGAAAGCTGTGGACTTCACTGGCCCCCATATAGTGGACCACTGGTGCAGCAGGGAAGTAGTGGCCAAGCAAGAAGGCCTGGTAGCAGTCACTGACCCACCAGCAGCATGGCTGAAGGACTGAGAGAGTAGACCTACACTGCCTGGGCCAGTAAGGGGAAGAAGCACACTGATGGGAAATTGGATTTGCTGCTTTCTGGGACTGTTTCACACTGCAGTGGCAGGCACTGGATCCCTTGCCCAGGGATTCACCCAGTACAGCTGGATGAGGAGAGGATTCATCTGGGGTGGTACTACAGGAGATGCTGGCTAGCTCTCCAAAAGAGAATTTTTGTTGTCTGAGGAAACTTGTACATAGTTTCAAGGAGGCTGTCCTTAGTTGCCATTCCTCTTCGGCATCCCATACACCCTTACCCCATCCAATTTATTTACCCCTTCAAAAAATCCTAAAAAAAACAAGCTCAAGGACTGGTTACTGTCTACTGGATGCAAGTCTGAATGAAGGAAATTCATTTTGCCTGGCTGTGCAGGACTATAGGGGGACCCAAACTTCAGCGACTCCTAAGTGAGTAGTGCTGCATGGACTACATTCTGAAAATGTTCTAAGGGAAGGGAGGGAGTGTATATAAGAGGTGCAACAAGGTGTCAGAAGACTCACTGTAGTTCAAGAAGGATTAAACAATCTCTCATTTCTTTTTCTCTATAAAAACACTTGCTGAGAACGTAAAGCATACATCATACTATCTCCAATAGCACATTCTAGCATTAGCCCTAAAACATACAAGATAATAAAAGGAGGAGCTTGTGCAAAAGGGTATAATCTTTCAGGTGTGCCTAAGGTAGCATGATATTTAAATAGAGCTTTCCCTGTAGAGATGGAAATGCATAGTGTGATGATAGTTAGATCTGGGGAATGGTGTCATAAACAAAATTCATATTCAGCCATCAAATTCTCAGACTGAACAGTCAGCTCAGAGATATCAAGTAGGTCATCCTAAATTTCGTCAATACCTCTAAAGCCTGAGCAAAAGGGTTAGTAATTAGCCATGGTGACCTGCAAAACCTATTACATTATAAATGTCATTAAAGCCACACTTTAGGCCTTATTGAGTGATTTGGAGCTCAAAGCTCAAATCTCCCGAATGCTTGAGGAGAAAAAAAATCAATTATTCTCAGTGGAGATGGTTTACATCTCCAATTCAAGTCGCCTGAAGTGAAACATCTGAAGCTCAAACAAGTTCTGGAGCTTTTTTGTTGCTCAAATTGGGCAGATTTGCAAGTTTTTGAGCGTTTTTATTTCCACAGAAATAAATGGAAACGTGGGATTCACACATTTTTGCTCATATTCATGTGTTTTGTTGTGTATTTTTCAGCTCAAATGAAAAAAAAAAATAGTAATAATATATGAAACAAATGTAAAATAAATACACAAATAAAAATAATCATACATAAATTAATATGTAATATTACATAAATAATAATTAACCTCTAACCTCAACCCCCTAACCCTAAAATAAATCATAATAAATAAATTATGAATAATAATCATAAAATAAAAAAATAAACACCCAAATGCGAAAAAACACACAGAAATCGTGCAACAAAATGCACGGAAAACGCTTAAAGATGCTACACTCAAGTGTGAATCCAATCTAAATTCTGGTTAAAGAAAAATCAATTCAAGTACATTTTCTTAAAGTGGTTGTAAAGTCTGAAGGTGTTTTACCTAAAAAAACCTTCTGTGTGCAGCAGTCCCCCCAACTCCCTCAATACTTACCTCATCGCGATCCAGCGATGTGATTGACAGCCTCTGCTGTCTCGGGTTTTTGCCTCCTCATTGGCTGAGACAGCAACCAGGAGCAATCCCACTTCTGTCAATCACAGCCAGTAAGCCAATGAGGAGATAGAGAAGGCGGGGCAAACCATGGCTCTGTGTGTAAAGAGACACATGGAGCAGTGGGTGCCCCAATAGCAAGCTGCTTGCTGTGGGGGCACCCAACAGATAGGAGGAGCCAGGTGAGCCTGCGGGGGACCCAAGAAAAGCAGCATCCGGGCTGCTCTGTGCAAAACCACTGCACACAGCAGGTAAGAAAAAAATTAACCTTTAGAATCACTTTAACTCAAAGTACTTAGACCCTTAAACTTTCCAATTTCCTTTTTTTTGCTACTGTGATTGGACTTCTTGTTAGAAGATGGTTACATTCATTCTCCATGTTCCCACTGTAGGTAGGTTTGTAGCCACCCTCTCCTGCTCGCTTTCAAGATGGACTATGGACAATGAACTATGGAGTGTGTAGTGTACATAGAACAGAGAATATGACCACAACTAACATGCACTGATAAATTTCAAACAATGGAAGTGAGAGGATTGGGTGCTCACAAAGGATGTTACAAGGAGGAAAAAAACTCAATAAAAAACAATTTAATGAAAAATAGGTTACAGGGTTGTTAATTAATGGATGTGTATGGATTATGTGTGAAGTATAAAGGTTTCATTTAAGGCAGAGCCTGCAAAAAACAGATACCTTTTAATGGCTACTGTAAAAGATGTGTTACAAACATTCCAGTTTTGGCACTTCTGATACAGTGCAGTCCAAAGCAGGGGCGGACTGACCATTTGGAAACTCGGGCACCGCCTGAGGGCCCGGGGTCAGTAGGGGGCCCCATGAGATGCCCTTGGTACCTTTTTCATAGGCTTTTTTTAGCTTGGGCAAGGACACAGGGGCCCCATGATCCCCTATTGCTCAGGGGCCCCATGAGTTGTCAGTCCGCCCCTGGGCCAAAGTGATTATATCCATCAGTCTGACATATCCTAGCCAGCAGCTACTTAACCAAGGCTTTGTCATGTTGTAAATATTTTAACAGGCGGTAGAAAGCAGGCCTTATTCCTGGATGTTCACCTCTCAAGGCAGGCGCAAAAAATATACATAACTCCTGGAATGAACAAAATTAAGTGAAGGAGCATTCAACCACATGAATAAAATAAATGGTATAATTTTAAGAACAAATACTATATTATGAGGTGAAGGAGGAGAATTATACACACTCCATCCCCTAAGCGTTATAGGGTTTGTTGACATCCAGTCCTGCAAGTCCTCCTTTTCCTGGCTCTGCTTGTGCATTACAGCCCATAGAAGTCTATTGGGCTTGTCTACCACTGTCTATAGGCTGGGAGTGCCGCATGTGTTTGGGGTTGTTGTACTATCTTTGAATTTTAGGATCTTTGCAGTAGTCAGCATATGATATTCCTTGCACTGGTGTTTGGAATACATATTTAAATGATAAATATTTACTTTTTGAAGTGAAGTTTTTTTATAAGCCTGGTGCATGCATGTTTCATAGTTTAGCAGGTCTGAATCTTCATGTTTTTCTTTTAATTTAGATTATTAAAAAATTGTTATGTGAGTATTCTGTAATATACCTTACTGGAAAAAGGGATATAAAATAAATATTATTTGGGTTGGCAATGTGCTCTGCACACTATAAATGCACCACACTTAGGGAACATCAGTGTCTGATCAACTAGATAAGTTCTTTAATTGCAATTTCGCACG